TTCTATAAAAAAAACTTAAATAATTAACATTAACATAGTAGTCTTAGTTCAAATAGTAAAATGACATAATTGAAAAAAAATAAAATTATAAATATCGATTATATTTTTGAAAAGGGTCAAAAACATAGTTTTATATATTTGAAACTTTTGGAAAATATACGTGTTAAAACTGTGTATTCGGTCATTTAGTTATCGTATACACAAATATTTTTTTTTTCATTTGAAAATACGCATAGCATAAATACGGTACGAAAAGCCACCATATAGCACCTGGACACCGTATACGCAGACGCCTGGACTGTATTTTAGAACGCTGATTAAATCCAAGTTGTTGTTCCTGCGATTTAAAACCATGTATGAGGTGGGAAACTTGCAGACTTATATAAATCCATATCCCTTGTTCTCTTTTATACATTTCCATAATGCCAGATTTTACCAAATTGATTCATATATCAAATTTCCAAAAACAGTAGAATGAAAAATCAAATGAAAACAATTAATATCGATGAAAATAAAGATAGAAGTACAGAGAATTGTAATACTAAAAATACATCGAGAAACCTAAGCTTCATCTCTTACCAGTAGATACACCTCTCTGTAATTAGCCTTAAGAGCCTTTTTCAACCGTCAAGATACACCTTTGGGATGCATTCACACTCTTCACAACATATGTCTCCAGAGGTAGAGTTTTTTCCATCACCTTACCATCTTTGTCCACCTTGGTTTTCTTCACCTGACGTGTAGTGACATCTCCGCAACCTCGCTGCCATTTTGATCGTGTTTTATTATGACATCGCCTACTTGGTTCTCCCGGTGGTTTCTTAGTAATCGAGATAGCACGAAACTAAAGACATTATAAAGTCATAGATGTTACAAACACATATCCATTTGACTTGTTAATTATTAAAGATACTGAATAAAATGTTTTTGACTCGTCGGGAGAGGTTTACGAAGAAGAACATAGAAGATACTATGATGAATCATCTACATTCTTCCTTGACTTGAAACCTATCACTTATGAATCGATTAATTTGAAATAATCTTATCTTGATAATCCTTTTATTTTGAATTGTGAAATTGCTCAAAAGTTGCTTACA